TTGCTAGTTTTTGATCTCGCCAGCACGGATAACAATCTCCCATCAATTCTCGGGACTAGCAAGGCGTTTATAAGTAAACCCATAATGACAGAGTGACGTATATGCATATAAATGCCTACAGGTACTGTGTGTCTGAAAACACCATTGTTCAATGATGCGAATTTGCATCCATGCAGTGCAGGAGACATGATACCATACAGCCATGCCCTGTTTCTACGGTTTCGTAAACTGCTACTAGAAACACAGGGGCGATACAATCACTTCAGATAAATCCAGAGAATTGACATAGGAAAATAAAATATAACCACGCTTTCCACGGATAGCTAATACAAACGGCAGCTTTCCAATTCCGCAGTTAAATGCTACATTTCAGTTGCTGACACTATATTTACTGTGGGAGTCTGAAAACACTCACCCGTGATAGCTACTCCAGAATATGGGGGTATAGCATATCTTATTCTGTTTATATATTTGGTTATGGATAGTGGTAAATTTTGTTGGTGCTCGAATTCACATAGGTGGTCATGCATCCAATGCACCGCAGGTGCTTAAATACCGTGGAGCTTGGCGCACTTAAATGACATTCTGGACGAACAGAACAAAGGGATTGGTACGCTTAGTTGTGTAATCCGCTAGCAGTGCCTAAAATGTACATCAAACCTGGTTAGCATTGTTCAACAGTACTATTCGCTTTATAACTGTCCCACATTCAGTGCGCACCGAAACACACAGAGGGCTACATATACACAAACCAAACATACTGGTGGTAACCTAAATTCAGACTTCTTGAAAACAGTGGGAACCACCGCATTAAAATAAGACACATTCATCGTTGCAGTACATCGTTTACTCAGCATATAAACAAACACAAATGATAAGTTAATAATTAATAATCGTCTTACTGAAACAGCTGCATATTCTAAGATATTTTTACTTCAGCGGCGAATACGCTGAAACATCGCATAATGCCGCACGGTCGACGGAGTCAGTCACCCACTGTTCCGTTACAAGTATGGCATTTGGACATATTTGGCTACATATCTGGTTGAGAGCTTGTACTCTTGACATGTCACTAGAAACAACAACAGTGTAAAATGGAGAAAACTAACTAAACTAACTTCGAGAATACGATGATATGAGTTGTAGTCTCATCGACAGTGTCAACAATACTTGCACCATAAAGTTTCAGCCTTAATTCAACGATGTCCAATGGCGAGGAGTTTATCTTCGACTCGGGATTGTTGACTGTGCCAAAAAAATCGACATATACCCTAAATTGGAGAATTATGGTAAACTTGCAGCCTTAAAGTACCCCAAACAATGAAGATTAGCGTACCTCAGGCCGTAAAACAGCTTGTATTTATACGACGGGAACAGTTCTGCAATAAGTTCCATGACTTTGTGGCGCGGAAGACTCTACGAGATTTGTTACAATGAACTTCAAGTAGAAACCAAAAAAATTTGCACTTTAAACTGCGCGAACAAAATCAACGATAACACGTACAAGATCAGCAGAATATCTAACAATCTCCAAAACAATTTCTGAAAAGAGGGATGGGGCATACACTTTGCTTTCAAGACGTTATTACTAATGATGATCAGTTGAAAGCACTGCCTCTGAAAACGAAGACTGTTGAAATGACATCTAACAGCCGTTGAATGCCGTAAAGTGGAGATGCTGCTGAGTATTCAAGTTAGAAAAGAGCGTAAAAACATCACTGCTCAGAGAAGCGGCCAGCGAAAGATCATTTTGATTTGCAACATAATTGGTAGGGTCAGATCTTTAGCTCAGTCGCCTTTTCAGTTCAAGCCCCAACTATCACTCACGGCTAAAACATTCTGAGTGAATTTTTTAAATTACTCTGGTATCATGAAGATCCGCCATGAATTTACAAACGAAAGGCTAATAACATGCATTCAAACAGCGACTCTACAAATCAGGGTGTACAGGAGTAGAGAGTGGAACCGTCTAATCATCTGTTCCATATAAAACAGAGTGAAATACCTCTCGGCTACTTAACCCAGATGTAAGTCTAGATTAGACAGAACTCGCCTATAGCTCTAAACGTCAGTCTTCAAGCCTTAGTAAACCACTGTTATGAAGCACGTAGGGTAATGGAAACGGATAAAGGATTAAGCCTTTCGTTTTTCTTGTTCCAAGAAGGCCGAACATTAAATATAGGAAACACTATCAATACACATCCAAAAAAATTGAGTGCACCCTGCCCGGTTCATTTGATACGAAGAGTGAACAGGCGGCGGAAGCATACCGCAACTATCGCCCAAGAGAAGGTATTTGAGGTAAACATGGACCGGACCTACGCCTAAAAATTCAGGTTGCGACGTGTTCAAAACCTAGCACCAACTGGCATTGGTAAAGTCATTATCTAAAATTATCTACTTATAGTATCTATAATGCAGGAGTCAGCGTAGTTCCTGTCCCTGCCTATGGCCGCAGAATCGCTGAAGAGCCAATCTCAGTACGCCTAGGATGGAAAGAAGCGATGCAACATGTGACGCTAGTCATTCCACAATTAGTGAGAGATGCATTTAGGTATAATGAATGCCTAATATATTAGGTCATGCCTTCTCCTCGTTGCCTACGACCAAATGAGGACTCAGAAGTGGAATCAGAAAGCATCCCTACAATGAGTTAAGCATTCTGGCACCACTTCTTTAATGCACGACAAATTGCTTATCTTGAGGAACATGAAAGGCCATACATACATTAACAAAAACCGACACTGTGCAGTAACTCGCCGACATGGGACAGACAGATCAAAAACTCAACTCTAATGGGATGTAATGGTTTTGCACCGCTGTAAATATTTCGATGGCTGTCAATTGTTTAATCGTAGTCCGGGTTGAATCATTCATCGATAGACCTGGATCTTACATGATGACGAAAAAACATTACAGCAATAAGCAACAACACGCTGGAATAAAAAGGGCTAGACACGGTCACGAAACGAACGGACGTATGAGCCATTCACAGAACCGATCAGCTGCGCTCGACATAGCAGAGTACAATGCTTGTGCGTTGATCTATATTGCATTGTAAGAAGACGCTGCAAACAAACTGAGAAGAAAGGGTGCTTTCCAACCATAACCATTACATTCTGACTTGAAACAGAAGTAACTACGAGGATCTGTGAACTGAGTGAAACTTTGACCATAAGTTAGCAAGGGATCATATCCTACAACGAGGGTATAGTGGTTGAATGCTGTAACAATTAGTAAAAACTGGTACTAAGGGAATGATCACCTGTCAATCTCAGCTCCGCAGGCCTTAGATGAGTCGCTTCTGCAGCCCGCAAGCACGTGCACTTGAACTGAAGCCGGTCCTCCCTAAGATCTTTTATTGTAATTGCGCTGGGGCAGTTTCCAAATTATGGCTGCTCTC